ATATATATATATATGTATATTCACCAAATAGTTATGCTTCTCTTATGAAACATTGACTGTTCAAACCTATTAACTGATTGTTGAGGGAATGTGTAAACGAATGAGAGAAATTTCTTTATTTTATAGATGAAGAAGCTGATGATGGAGAATTACCTACTTTCAAATAATAATTAATGTATGATAATAGGAAGATAGCAACTCCTGACTTCAGGCCCAGTGTTTTTTCTACTGATTCACAATGCCTCTTTTAGTCTATCTTACTCATCCTCTAGCATGTAGAAGAACTGAGTCTTTGTAGGTGAATCCCTACTACCATCTTAAGCACTCCATCCAGGTGTGAAAAGATGTTCTGGCCACCTACTCCATAAAGATAGTGGTAGCAAGTTAATGCCAATGTATAAAGCACAGGAAATGGGCAACTTCAAAAAAGGGGAGAGCCCTGGCAAGCAATTACCATGTTTTTGGGGTTAGTTGTAGTTCCATTTCTTGGAAAAACCTTACCTCTGAACCAAGGGTCTTTGATAAGTAGGAAAACAGTAATTAGCTTGTATCTCTTCTCTGTTCTTCACATTTTCGATTAAATTCTCCTCTCTAGAATTAGTCCCAGGTAACTGGAAAAAAGTTCAGTATTAGAACTATAGTTTCAAGTGATTTGGGTGCCTGGAAATGGACACTAAATTCATTCTCCCATATAAGTTACTATCTAGGTCATACTCACATCTACATTCCATTCCCCTGCACCCCAGCACTCTGCTTTTATCTTCATACCAAAAACCCTACACTCTGAACAGTGAATTTCTCACATTTCCCCAAATCTGTTAGGCTCTTTAGAAGTAGGCAGACAACTTTTCTTCCTTCTAGCTAAAACCTAAGTACTACATTATTTCCACTATAAAGCTTCTCTTGATTTCTCAGTCACAGTAGTTTTTTTTCTGTGAGTGTCCTGTTTTGCTAGGTTTTTTTTTTTTTTTGACTTTCCTGATGTCACAGAGCTGATGGACTAACCTTTACATGCCTAGTGACAAATAGAATGAGTCACTGTACATCTATTAGAAGAAAGGAAAGAACATTTGTCCAATTCGTGAAACCAAGGTGTAAAAGACAACAACCTTCTGTTTACTGAGTGGCAGCATAGTCACTGAATGCTATTATTTTGATGCCTAAAATAATCAGGTCTGCAATATTGTATTCATGGTATAGCAATTATCATGGTATTACTTTGTGAATAATTAATACAGACACTTATTTTACACACACACACACACACACACACACACACACACACAGAGAGAGAGAGAGAGAGAGAACATGGTGACTCTGAACAATTAATGTCTCAAGGACACAATTTTGAACTTCTTCTCACCTGCTAACTCTGCTCACTCTATACGCCTGTGCTGCTGTTGCCCAAGCTGCCCCAATAGAGCACAACCAAAATCCATACACAACTCGAGAAACAGTACCCACTGTTTACAACAGCAAAAATGGGGATGAGCCAACACAACAGTGCAGAAACACACAGACAATATTCTGCCTACAGCAATATAATGCATAAATATATTGTCCTGATTTCTATTGTACTTGATTCCTGCATGTGGAAAGTGCATTTTGCTTCTGTTTGGTTTTGTTTGGGCCTGTTTGTTTGTGATTTGCTTTGTTCAGTTTTGTCTCTCTGAATGTTTCTTTAGCTTTTAACCTCCAAGTGCAAATGGCCTAATCTTATCTTCAGCTCAATATTGTTATCTAATACAGTTAAATAAAATTTTAGTCATGAGGAAACGAAACCACCTCCCATTCCCATAAAGCCTAAATTTAAATGTGTGTAACTCATAAGTCTTAGAGAATGTGTTCAAATTATCCACACCATGTTCTCCTTGGGTGTGAGATTGAACCACCCACAAATTGGCTCAGTTCTGATTCAAATGAAAGGCAAGTTACAAAATAAAGAGCGTTCTTGATGTGACAATCCTGGAGCATAACTCAACATCTCTAATATTCTGGCACCTTCCCAAATTTTGGTTGCAAGCCTGGGAAGGATTTTACTTTCTCAATAAAATAAATAAATAGAACTCAATATCATATTATAAGAACACTAAAAGGTCAGTTTAATAACCTAACTCATTCATCAAATATGGCTAAGTGCATCTTGCACTGGCTGATTGGTGAGAGCTATTAAGTCGTCGTTCACCAAGCCCCATGTGCTGTCTTCAGTATAGGAAAACCTTGAATCAGAGATCTAGTGAACAACTTTGCAGTCCAGCCACTAGGGCAGGTACCTTGCTCTGTGAGCTTACTTATTATTTTCCCAAAGTAGAGACAGAATGTCCTGAATTACCCATTGTTTGGCTTAGCCTCACATGAGATGAGGAGAGCGCATAGTTGTGAAAAGACTAGCCAAGTTTGTGGGTGAGTAGATATTTTTCTGGTGCAGAGCCAACTAACTAATCAAGTAGTAACCAAACCCAGGAATTTTGCCACACAAAAATCATCCTTTAGTAGTACTTCTCGAAATTTTCCATTAAAAAAAAATAAACCATACAAAACAGAATTACCGCTATTACTACCCCAAATCCGGGGGTATTTGAGGATATAAGACAAATGACTGGGTCCAAAATCAAAATATTCCACAGTCTTATGATTTTTTTCTTTTAGTCTTAAATGTAAATATATATATTTTTGGATATATATTCATACCTGCATTATGAAAATAATTTTTAAAGTGCTTATCAGTTAAATTAGTTTTTTTACTCCCCATCCAAATCATTGAGTGAAATTAATGCTTCTAAAAGATATACCATGTTAATCTCATGGCTTTTCAGAGATGTTGGCATGTTGCTACTGCTGTGAACACAATTATTCAGAGGTAGGACTCATCCATATGAACTACATGAAAACATGGAGGAAATTATATAATAGCCAAAATATATGATATGGATAGTGATTTTAATGGAAGAGCAGCCAATGTCATTAGAAGGTTGGATTATCAATGTCTCAAAAATAACTTATTCTTTACCTCAATTAAAAAATTATTTTCTCTTTAACCAAGTTGCATTACAAAAAAAGCTATAGCATTAAAAATGCTGTATTACCAAGTGTGGTGGCTCACACCTGTAATCCCAGCACTTTGGGAGGCCAAGGTGGGCAGACTACTTGAGGCTAGAGTTCGAGACCAGCCTGGCCAAGTTGGTGAAACCCCATCTCTTCTAAAAATACAAAAATTAGCTGGGTGTGTTGGTAGGTGCCTATAATCCCAGCTAATTGGGAAGCTGAGGCAAGAGAATTGCTTGAACCTGGGAGGTGGGGGTTGCAGTGAGCCAAGATCGTGCCACTGCATTCTAGTCTGGGAAATAGAGGGAGACTCCATCTAAAAAAAATAAAAATAAAAATAAATAATAAAATAAAAATGCCGTATTAAATTAACAGATGCTTCTATATACAAATGATGGTACTTTAGGCAGATCCATTTTATGAAATTTAATATTTATATGATTACTAAAGTATGGTTCTTAATTTCTTTTATAGAAATGGAAGCTTGAAATACATGATATCTAGTAACCGTATGGCAAAAGATAATCAAGATGAAGTTGGATTCTGTTACTGTGATGTTTAATTTTATATGTCAACTTGGCTAGGCTCTGGTACCCAGTTGTTTAATCAAACACCAGTCTGGATATTGCTAGAAAGAAGTATATTAGATGTAATGATAACTTCTCACCTGTAGACTTTGAGAAAAGCAAATTATTATCTTCCATAATGTAGATGGGCCTTATCTAATCAGCCTTAAAAGCAAAGCCTTAAGAGCAAAAACCAAGGTTTCCTGGAAACAAAGTTCTGCTTCAAAGGTGAAACATACAAATGCTGTCTAAGTTTCCAGTTCTGGCCTATTCTGCAGATTTGAACTCAATACTGCAATGCCAACTCTAACTAGAATTCCTATCAGCCCACCCTACAGATTTCATACTTGCCAGCCACAATAATCGCTTGAGCCAATTCCTTAAGATCGCTCTGCCTTTTTCTCTGTCTCACTCTCCTGTATCCTGTTTCTTCTGTTTCTCTAGAGATCCTTGACTAATAACCAAACTATAGTAGAAAAGGGGAAGTTTTAAGAGAACTGTTAGAGTGAGTTTCTAAAAGTGGAAAATCTTGTAATAGAGTTCATAGTATAAATGATATTTCAGCGTCTAAAAGTTCTTAATTCCACAGGCACACCCAGGACAATATTAACCTGCCTCAAAATTGGCTATCATCCTCTTGCCTTCCTGGAAGAAAGTTAAATTGGTTGGTGTGCTAATTGTACCTTATGTTGTGATGGTGCTGGACCATTGCTTTGCTCTTAATTATTTGCAGACGTGCCTTTTTCTGCCAGACAGGGGGTAGGGACCAGGTCTTTGTCATCTTTGTCCCAAAACTGTCCAGTACAGTGGTGGTTAATAAATGTTTATTGATTGCATGAGAACATGGTTCTGATTTAAAATGGGATATAATAAAAAATTGAAATTTACCAAAATAAAGAGTGTTTTTGGTCATGTTTGCTAGAACATGCATTTTTCTTAAAAAAAAAAAAAAAAAAAACAAAAAAACAAAAAAGCCCAGTATTTGTTTCTCAGTTAAAAGGAGAGCAAATCTTACAAAATTCAATCTGATGCCATGTAATCATTTGGAGTCTTTAAAGCTATTTTCATGTGAGGAAAATAAAATTCGAAATTGAGGTGATCTTTCTGGAACGTGGTAAGGTAAAAATCACCTTTACGTGGAGTTGTTGGATATATCTAATTTGGGACTATTTCTTCCTCAGGTGATTGAGGTTTTAACATTTTTTACACACCTGTGGGCAGTTTCATATCTAGTTTTAGGAGGGGGAGAATGTGGAGCCATGGTAACTGGTAAATGTTGCGTTTAATAGTAAGAAGCCTCTATCAGAATGTTATGTATGTTTTGCATCCAAATCCTTGATTTCAGAGTAGAACTTTCTGCAGCAAGGTGAGGAAAAAAATGTGATCCTATCTTTTTCATTTAAAAGCAGCTATACAAAAAATAAAGCCATCCACCCCTTGTGTTTAACAGAGAATGATGATAAAACTTCTAGTTCTGTTTACTATATTTTGTCCAAGAAATCTACTTTTACTTAGATTTCTTAGTCGCCTGCTTCTTGACAACATCTGGGATAAGCTACAGAGGGCCTGGCTTCTGTGTTGAGATTTGTGTTTCCCTTAAAATTCTCATGTTGGTGAGCATGTTATTATCCTCAGCACAGCCTTTCTTGATGGTCAGAACATTGTTTTTTTTTTTTTTTTTT